TATTTTAATATTTCATAGTATAATATTATAAATCCTAATAAAGTATAGGCAAGACTGCCGAAAAAAAAAAAAAAAAATATTATTGACTATGTAAATAATTTAATGCTCTTGTTTTGATTTGGCTTATTAAGACATATTTTTAAATTGATTAACTGTTTGATAATATACTTGTTCAAAAATAAGTTTTGTATTATTATTTGGCAATAAAAGATGTGAAGTAGATTGTGTTATTTTTTTTGTTAGTTCTAGATTGCTTTTTAACTATATAATAAGACTTTGAGCTCAATCTATTCCTTGTTAAATTTGTTTACTAGTCTTCTTGATTTGTTTACTTATATTATTTACTGAAGAATTTGAAAAGTTAAAATTAGAATGTATAATTTTTAATCTAAACTTGATATTAGTTTCTTGGTCAGAATCCTCAAAGTTTTTAAGCATATAATTAAATTACTCTGTTTTTAACTACTTAGTCTTTAATTCAGATACTATTTGTTCAAACTTTTTAGATAGTTAATTATTATTATAGTAATTAATAGATATTAAAAGATAAAAGATAAATTCAAAAAATTAATTGTCTTCTATAGTTTGATATACTTTTTCAAAAATATCAACAGTTATACAAATAATATAAATAGCTTGGTATTTATGACTATACCAACTTCAAAATTATACAAATTGTTTAGAATTATATGAGTAAAGACTAGGTAAATTATACTCAAAATAGCTAGAATCAAATCTAGTATTGTATCTTGCTTTAGTAATAGTTTAATTAGTGTTATATAAAAATTTATATTTTTAAATTTGATTTTAATATTGGATAATATTTATAAAGAATTAATCAAAATTAAATAAAAATCTGTATTGTTGTTAGTATTTAAATAGTTGATAAATACCATTATGAAAAAAGGTATTATTATCTATTTCTGTTTCAAATAATTTTAATTTTGCATACTCAGTTGCAGTATAAAAATAATGTTATAAGGCAGAGTTTCTTTTAGGTAGTAAGGTATAAGTAATTCTTTGTAGATTGTTAGAATTAGAAAATTCTAAATAATCAATAGAAGATTAAGTAGGTGTATTAAAATTAGAATTAACAAATTATCTATTGTCTCAAAGTTTCTTAGATAATAGTTTAGATTTGCTATTGCTTTAAGAAAAATCAGAGAATTTAAATATTCAAATAAAATATTTGTTTGTTTGAGAGTAAGAAAAAATTTGAATTAAAGTAAATTAATAGCTACTTCAAGTTTTTCAACTAAACTATTATATTTTTTGCTAGTTAAAATATGGTCTAAAAATTGCCAAGAAAAATCAAAATATTTTTATAAAAAAGGTTTTATAAAAAGAAATGTAAGTTTTTATTATCATGGTAAAGCGTAGCATTAATTAACCATGGCGAAGGCCCTTAATAATGTTACACAGTTCTCTCCAAAATACCAGACGGATAACCGCGTGCTTGCACGTGGGTGTCCGTCGCGGTCATTTTGGGTATTTAGAAAAAGCCGGAACGGGTTCTCGGATAAACTACATCCAGATAATCATCCGGATCTACACCTCCCATCTACCCTCTGATGAGCGATTTTTGAACACATCACATCCCATTTCCCGAATCTACCCGATAGTAAAAAGTCACGGAAAAATAGTTTATCCACCCAGATAAACTCAGATTTAATTAGTGAGTGACTTTTTGAAAGGGCGTGACGAATATTTTTTAAAAAATTATAGTAGGTGTGACGAGAATTCAATTATTGAGCGATTTTTTTAACACTAATTAACAATTATTGAGCGATTTTTGAAAGGGGTGACGAATAAACATCGGGCGTTATCGTATATCGTATAATAACGTATTTCAGACAAAACTCTTCAAGATATTGAATTTTCTTGTTCGATTCTTATGTAAAACCATCATTTTTTAAAAAACTATTATAAAGCAAGAATAATTACATATAATATTATCTTTATTTTTTTTTAAAAAATATTTGTTTAATAATCATTTCTTAGTACTCTTAAAACATTGACATTTTATTTTTGTTTAATAATCATTTCTTAATACTCTTAAAACATTGACAGTTTATCTTAATACATTCCGATTCGTTTTTTCTATTTACACTAATTCTATCGCAACCAGGGCATTGATTAAATTTATGATTTTGCTTTAAAAAATGATTCACATAATAAAAAAGATCCTTTTCTGAATAAATATCTAAAAGACGGCCATGTTTATGATACACGCTAATATTTTCATGAACACACCAATACAATTTTACATTTTTGCAATTTTTATATATGAAAAAAAATTTTTGAACATGAGGAATATCAATAATTCTCAACTGAAACTTATTGCCAACACGCAAAGCATTTGAATTCCAATGATTGTAGATACCGCAACGATTAAGATTCTCATCAATTAGATCGAGAAATGGATTTGGTTGATTATCGTCAGAAGCAAAAAAATACCGACCCCAATAATAATTAAAGTTTAATTTTCCACAAAAAGGACACGTATTAAAACGACCAGTTCTTTCCTTTTCATTAGCAGTTGCTTCGTTATCCTTAAGGTATTTTTGCAAGACACATTTTAAAAAAATATCAACCACATTATTATTATTGATATTTTTCACATGAACAATTCCACGTTCATTAATATAAAACTCATATTAATTGTTGTAAATGTATTTTTTAAAAAAAACTTGTGGATCTTGCAATCGTAAAGATTTATCTACTAACAAGTTCTTGATGGAGTTTTTGCATTCCATGATAAAAATTAAATAATATTTTTATTGTACATACAGATGTATTTATATTTTTCAATTACCCGATTTGTAAAATGCTTTTGGTAACAAAATGGGCCAAAGCGGGTAATTCGACATTACCCAATTAGTAAAATGCTTTTGGTCGCAGAATGGTCCAAAGTGGGTAATTCAGCATTACCTGATTTGTAAAAAATTTGACATTACTGTTTCGATTTTGCAACCTAATTTAAGAAGAACCGTAATGTCGTAATTTAATAAATAATAAATAAATTAAATTTTATAAATAAATAAAATTTTAATTTATTTTATCTATCTAAAACTATTTATATAAAGTTTAAGTTTTTTTTAAAAAAAAATAAAATTAAAATGCCAAAAGTTCATTCTCATCATGAAATTCGAAAATTTTTTCATGATAATGTTGATAAAACATTAATCATTTGTGATTTTTGCGAACAATCATATAAATCAAATACCTCAGTTTCAAATCTTAAACGTCATTTTTTAAAATATCATAAAAATGAATATCAATCGATTTTACAACGATATCTTGA